AGGGTTTTACACAGAATCAAACCAAACAACATGAATCAAACATGCACTTTATTTATTTCCACTAAATAACAAGTACATCAAATCAGATTGAAGCTAAGGGCATACATAAACTGTCTAACAGGTTCCATCATAGTTTCATCCCGGGTAATAATGTATCACATGGATAATCAAAGCTCTGCCATAGGAAGCTTTCTGAACTGCCATCTTTCCCATCCTTCAGAACCAGTACCACCCTCCATCCAACTACGACGACAGAGACAACCACCACCAGCTCCCCGATCACCCTCACAATGGTATCGCCAGTGGCATCAGTGGGAAGCGAGTGAGTTACTAACTGTCGGCAGTATCCCAGACTGACCATGGGAGAGGGGATAGGGATTGGATGATACCCAKGTTCTGAGCTCATTGATGGCATCCTTGAGTTGAGAGATGAGGGGATGGTATGATCTGTAGGGGAAACTGGTGGATCTGATGTGTTAGGATTTCTCCCGTGGTGATGGCCGACTAGGATTGGGAGCTGAGAAGGAAAGAGTAGGATTGGGAGCTGGTGGATCTACTCACCATATCTTCCTTTTTCTTCTTCTTCTTATTCATATTTTTCTTTCGAGTTGCATTTGTTTGTCCCATCGGGGAGTTTATAAAGGGAGAGGGGAGAGAGAGTGAGGAGAGACGAGACGGGGAATAGGCAGCATTGCTAGTTTGATTTTATTGGATGGTTGATAAAGAAAATTAGATGACACTTGAAGGGCAGTTTTATCTTTATGAATTTCGCTTAACACCTAGTTAATGCTAGGTACTAGATTGTCACAAAATCAAAGTTCGGATACTAGATTGTCGTGTTTTAAAGTTCAGGTATTAAATTTGCACTTGACCTAAAGTATAGGGTACCTATCAGGAATTTTCCCATAATAAAATTATAAAAAATAATTTATATAATAAAAATATTATAATTCTTAATTTTTTAAATATCAAATAAAAATATTTTTTATATATAATTTTTATTTTTATAAAACATTTTTTCTCAAGTCGAGCTTGAGCTCGAGTTGAGCCGAACTCGAACTTATGAGTTTTTGACGATCCAAACTAGAACTCAAGGTTCTAGCTCGAACTGAACTCAAGCCTTGTACTACCTTGACAAACCGAGCTCCAACCTCGTAGTATTTGGCTCAGCTCAGCACGAATCCACAAGGACTTAAAAGGACTGCCCTATTGAATAATTGAATGCCCCTTTGATGATAGAAAGATCTACTTGGCTGGTTCACCCGAATTGACCTGTAGGAGTAGAATAAGTTAATAATTATTATTTTGATTTAAATAATTAGTCATCTCATGTTTATTAAATTTATTAATTATTTAATACCATTATAGTTAACTAATTCTTATTATTATTTAAAATTTTTTTCATACTTTACCAAGTCTTTGCCATACTTAATAGGCCTATTCACATGCTTGTCAGCCTAAGATGTTATCATTAAGCCAAGCTGAGGAATGGTAATGGCATGATCATTATCATGTTTTATTTTATTACTTTAGTCTTGCAAAAATTAAACGCGATAAGCGAAAAGAGCTGAATTTATACAAACATACAACCCGGTTCATGGTCTACTTCCTAAAACGATCCAACAATTTGCAAATCTATGTGCTTCATGAAGGTTTCTATTTACAATATATATTCCAATAGATTTCAGGACCTTGTCTTTTATAGCTTCCAGCGGTTTTAGGCAGGTTAGGCTTGGGCCTAAAGTATCAAGTAGGTTTAGTTGGATTGGGCTTGGGGCCTTGGGCCTAGTTTCTACATGTTAGACAAATGAAAGGAGTTAGATTGTCAGGTAATCTTGCATTCCTACTGAAAGGGGTTTCCTTTTTAAGGGAAAACAATGCTTTCGGCCCTTCTGACTTGTTTTGATGTAAGGAAATGAAAATAGAGTTTTAAACATAAAAGGGGCAAAGCATAACTGAGAAAAATTTTCACCTGTTTTATGTTGCAACAAATGGAGCTTTTAAGAAAATTTCCTAGATGMTCTTGGAAGGAAAGAATAAGATACTAATGATGTAATTAGGGCATTCTTTCATAATGAAATTGGGTGTTTGAATTTCTAAATGAGGATGCTTGAAGTCATTTAGTACTATGAGATAGCATTTAAGGGTCCGTTTGGTTTGTAATTAGAATCGGAATTGGAATTGGAATTGGAATCGGAATTAAATCAAAATCCTTTGGAGTCAAAATGGTCAAATTTCATAATCTGTTCGGTTCAGATAGGAATAGGAATGGGAATTAAAATCAGCAGGAATGGGATTTCATTCCCAAGGGAAGGGCAGGGAATGACCATTCCCTCAAATGGGGGAATAACATTCCAACAGGAATGGGAATGAGATTCCAATTTTGCCCAACCAAATAGTTGGAATAAGGAATAGCCCATTCCGATTCCGATTCCAAACCCCTATTCTCGTGAAACAAATGGAGCCTTAGATTAAACTTTTAAACTAGCCAACCTATGAAGTGAGATCTCTATGATAGAATACTGATAAATGATTGAAAAAGRACCAATGCTGTAAATCATCACCATCATAACTCAAATAAAGATCATATGACATTCATAACCACCATAAAGTAGCAACCGTTGTAAATTAAGCATGAGCAACAAAGACTACATAATGCATTACATAGACTACAAAGGCATAACACGGCAACATAATAACCAAAAATGCGGTACTTTCAAACATTCATACCTGGATGCAAAAACGAGTTAAAAATTGAGACCTTGGGAAGTTTACGTCTTTTTATTCACTTTCTAACCTCTTTTTAACATACGCCACGCACTCCAGCTAGGAAGTCCCCTATAACCTATTCTTGCATCAATATCTTATTTAAGATGACTGAGAGGATGGATTAAGCAATAGTGGTTGTTCAGCTAGTGGCAATGTGACATTACTCTCCAAACATTTACATCTAGTACTTGATGTAGAACCTGTATCCCATAAACCTATTGGTTCATTTACCTTTCTCTAACTGTTTCTCGACCTCTTGTCTGAACTCTTTGAACTTTTTAAAGGATTCGGACTTATGTCTCATTAGGTACACGTAACCATACCGAGAA